TCCTCAAAAACCTGGTCAGGTGTGCAGATTGATAAAAAACCTCTATGGTTTGAAACAAGCAAGTAGGCAGTGGAATATGAAACTAACTCAAGAATTGCTACATATGGGTTTCAGGCAAGCTCTATCTGACTCTTCTCTATTTCTCAAAGGTGAAGGAGATAATTTTGTGGCCCTACTTGTCTATGTTGATGATGTTGTACTAGCAAGTCCATATTCAAAACAAGTTCAGCAGATCAAAAGGCATTTAGACAATGTCTTTCACATTAAAGATTTAGACCCTTTGAGGTTCTTCCTTGGATTAGAGATTGCAAGGAACAGCTCTGGAATTTCCATGACACAAAGAAAGTATGCACTAGAACTCTTGGAGGAAACAGTCTTTACAGATTGCAAACCAGCAAAAACACCTATGGCTACCTCAACAAGATTCAGCAAAGACATTGGGGAAAAACTTGAAGATGTCACTCAATATAGAAGACTTGTGGGAAAGCTATTGTACCTAACCATCACAAGGCCTGATATTAGCTATGCCACATACCAACATACATATGCAAGCAGCTCACAGAATCCTAAGATACATTAAGGCAGCTCCAGGTCAGGGTCTCTTCTTCTCAGCTAAGTCTCCCCTACAGTTGAAGGGGTTCACTAATTCAGACTGGGCTGCTTGTCCAGACACCAGGAGATCAGTCACTGGATTTTGCATATTTCTTGGCACCTCACTGGTATCTTGGAAATCCAAAAAGCAGGTCACTATCTCAAGGAGCTCTTCTGAAGCTGAATATAGAGCTCTAGCCTCCACAGGATGTGAGATTCAATGGCTTCTATACCTTCTGCAAGACTTGGGAGTGACTGAAAATCCTGCAGCTTCATTGTATTGTGACAACAAATCTGCAATTGCCATAGCTGAGAACCCTGTGTTCTATGAAAGAACAAAACATATTGAGTTAGACTGCCATTTAGTAAGGGAAAAGCTGCAAAAAGGGGTCCTAAAACTGCTACATGTCTCTACCTCAAATCAACTTGCAGATGTCTTTACAAAACCTCTTGCACAAAATAGCTCCCATGATCTCATTTCCAAGCTTGAGCTACATGATATGTACCTTCCAGTTTGCGGGGGGGGGGGGGGGGGTGTCAACCAACACTGCAGGTCAAACAAGAAGTCAACACAAGAAGAGTTAGTTGAAGATTAGTTTTGTTAGTTAAAGTTAGTTAACGTACACTGTTTAGCTTTCCTTTTTCTGCATTTCACTTAGTTGGTTGGCTTGTATATAGAGCAGATTGCTCCCCTCTGTAATTCACTTTTTGCAACCAACAACCTTCGTTTCCTTTCCTCCTTCCCTAATTCTTTCTCCATGAGAACTCCAACATGAAAAGAAAAATGTAAAATTCATGGGAGGTCTCGATATTTTTTACATACAACATCCATTATCTTCATTATTGTGAGATTAATATGCATTCAGCCCGAGTCATGTTCATAAAATTTGACTCATATTCAAAAAAAGATTTAGCCCAAAACCTTTTAAGATAAACATATATACAGATTTGATCATTCGATGTTGAAATTGTATTAACTAGTAGCTTGCTTACCAATTAAAATAACTGTTTTAAGTTGCGGGATTGAGGTTTCAACTTTATTTATTTATTTATTTATTTATTGTTATTATTATTTTTAAGTGAGGATGTGTGTGTGTAAAACCATTTATAAAGTAGATGGAAGAGTTCAACATTTAGGATTAGAATTATTAGTACACTAAAGACTCAATTAAGTATGTTGGATTATATTAATTGTGTTGTATTAGAATTACATTATATATCTATTATGATAGATTAGTGTACTATTATTATATTGTGTTAGAATACTAAGTATGTTGGATTATATTTATTGTGTTGTATTAGTACTCGTTTAAAATTTTATTATATTTTGTTTAAATGGTTTGAACTATATAAATGTTGTTTGGCAATTGAATTTCCTGTTGAGCATGGTAATTTAATTATTGTACATGTATAAATAAATTATTTTTTAAAAATATGAATATAGGAGTCCATAAAGGTAAAGACTCCTATAGTGTTAATTAATTTTTATTTTAAAAAATAGACTAGGGTTCAGTACCTTGAATGAAATGACGCAAATAGTGTTTATTTAAAAATTGACTTAGGTGTCTTTATTTTTAGTTTAGACTAGGGTTCAATACTTTGGCTGCATTTTGGAAAACTTGGTGTATTTAGTTTATTTTCTGGAAAAATAAGTAGAATTGTATATTTAAACATTTTGACGGAAAATGACTTCCCTCAAATTTTGGCAGAAGTCATTTTCCGCCAAAATGGCTTCATTTTCCCCAGTCAACGGAAAATATTTTCAGTTGACTGAATTTTCCTGTTGCATCCAAACACTGAAAACTCTGAAAACATTTGTCAGAAGTCATTTTTCGGGTTTCTAAACGAACCCTTAATGGTGCCCATTGTTTGAGTATTTCAAATAAAGACGCATAAAGTTTACATTTTTTTTTTTGCATAGTTTATGCGGCTTGAGCAGTAAGGATGTGTATTATCATTTAATAAAGAAGAAAATGACGCATTTTGTACTTAGTGTATACTCGTACAATAGAGCAACCAGATTGTCGCATGAGCTGATAACACAATACTTTATGCACAGCTCCTCTGGGCCAAGAGGGTTGTCGAGATCCACCTCGACATCAGAGTCATCGGCAAGATCAAGAGAGAACAACGACTCATTATTCAATGACTTATAGAACCAATAAGTTCATAGCTTATTCATAGGCTTAATTATACTTTAGTTTATAATTAGAGGATCTATTTGACCCTTATCCCAAAAATATTTTTTTAAGAAAAATATTACAATGAATATAGAGGAGAGGGAATACCCAAAAATTCCACTGAATACTGCGGTAAAATAAAAGCGGTAGTGCAATGCATATAACAAAAAAAACTTCCAAAGAAATTAAACATGTTTCTTTGTTGGTGGAAGTGGAAATAAGTGAAAATCATTATGCATGTGTCATTTCTGGAAAATTATGTCGTGGAACCGTGAGGTGGACACGGTTCCAAAACTGTTCATAATTATCAATATATAGTTTAAAACATATAGTTTTATAATTATGAATATAGAGTCGTGAACATATACAATTATGAACATATATTTCTGTGATTATGAATATAGAGATTTAATAATTGTGAATATGAAGTTCAAAAATTACGAATATATAGCTTTATAATTATGAATATATAGTTCAGTAATTATGAATATAGAGTTCTATAATTGTGAATATAACGTTCAATAATTATGAATATAAAGTTAAAAAATTATGAATATATAGCTTTATAATTATGAACATATAGTTTAGTAATTGTGAACATAGAACTGCAAGATGGACACAGTTTCACAGCATAACGATTGGTCATTTCTTCTTATTGATACCATACAGTGAAACTCGTGATGATTGTAAGAAATTAAACAAGGAAAATTATATTTTCCCTACTAATTTTTCGTTCCGGATGTGATTTATATTTGTCTCCATAAATTAGTTGCCAATGTAACACTCATTTGTAATTAAATATTAAAGAATTTTCTTAAATATAGTGTTACATGAGGAGGGAATTGAACATTTGAAAGAAAGTTTTTTAAAAAATGTGCAGCATCACTCGTTATTACATCATCTTACTTGGTGGAGTCAATGTACTGTTTTGTATCATCAGTGGTTCACCACTGGTTTTAACATCATCCTCGTACACAATGCGCATTCCAATACCAGTGTATACCGAACTGAAAGTACCAGAAACTTCAATTTGACACCATTCTTTAAGATTATGATGCATAATACGAAATGGCATATAGGACAGGCAAGTGAGTTCAGATTTCATATTGTGTTTAACCCCGTTATAGCCCATAGTTGTTGTAATAATTGACGAACCACGACCATCACGAGTTGTGGGAATGATTCGGAGATCAAGACCATAGATTTCAGTTATACTGCTAACTTTCAATGAATTTAATGTAGTAGTTATCAAGTTAGAAACCACACAGAATGCAAATCCCATGAATTTGTTATTGTACCAATTTTGATGCAGCCTAACTGATAGTGAATTTCCCCAATTCTTATACGTAAACCATTCAGGTAACACCATGCCTGGAAAGTGGACACTAATCCAGCGATCTGAGTCAACTGATAGTCCCTGTGCCACCCACAATACGTGTTGTTAATAATTTAATTTGTATGCAAGCATGCAGATACAACTAATTAATAAGCTAGCAGCTTTAATTTATTCGGGCGTGCATGATAAGGATGCATGCAATGCATTGTAATGAATTATGTACCTTGAGCAGGTGTTGCCATATTTGCATCAACTATGCAACTGTAACGTGGATTCTCAAGTAGTTGAGCACATTTAGTGAATGAAACTTTACTCAACTTTGGGTATTTAGTCAATGACTCTATGTTGCAGCCTTCTAAGCTGGGGCATTCATCTGCATAAACCTTTATTATACTAGATGGAAGCTCTGGCAAACTTTGAAGCCTCCCACATCCCACTAGATAAAGTTCCTTAAGTTGAGTGAGGCCGACAATGAATTCAGCTGGGATACAACCAAACTTGTTGCTAAGATTCAATATTTTCAAACAGTGCAGCTCTCCCAGATCACCAAGAATAATGCCTCCATCTAGCATACTACAATCACTAAGATCCAGCTCTTTTAGTGAAGATAAACCAGATAGAGAAGGAAACGGTGAAGCCTTGATATCTTAAAAAGCTCCTGCTGGCAGCAGCTTAGAGAGGAATGAACAGCTCTTTTGTAATGGAGAAGCCAGAGGTTTGCATCCACGAAATGATAAAATCTCGAGTTTCTTGAGAAGTGAAATGGAGGATGGTAGCTCTTGGATCATTGTCTTGTCACAATACAACTCTTCTAAGCATTCCATTTCTCCCAATTCATCTGGTAATTTCTCAATCTTGTAACAACCACGGAGAATCAACGCTTGTAGACTTTTCAATCTACAAATGCTACTTGGAAGGCTTGCAAGATGCTTGCAATTGCTTAGATCTATTAACATTAGGTTTGTGAGGCATTCGATTGATGATGGCACTTCTCTTATAGCAGTAGCCTCAGCATGTACTTCTAACAAGCAAGCCATGGGACCTGCAACTTGTGGAAAATTTTCGAGTTTCAAGCAGCCTAAAGGATCATTGTCTCAAGCTTTTCTAAATGAATGCTTTCGGGAAGCCTCTTCAGATTTACACAGTGCATAAGGTTAAGTGAAACAAGCTTCTTGAGAAATCCAACAGAAACATGGATCTCTACCAAACTTGTACACTGTTCTAGAATCAATGTTTCAAGATTTGGGATTCCTGTGAAATCTGGAGTCCTAATTAGTTTCTGAGAGTGGCTCAGATTCATGAATTTCAAATTGTCCAGGACCTGTATATACAAGCTAAGTGAGACATATATATAAAAGAAGAATAATAATTAAGAATCCTCTGCTCGAGCCATGATATGAATAAAATTAAAGAATAAAAAAGAGATCAGATCATAGACAAATAACAAATAAACAGTTAGATAGATCAGATAAACCTTGAATCCTTTCCAAAGTTGTATGATACGGCTGGATTTCATTTTAAGAGAAACAAGTTTTTGTCCCTGTAAAGTAGCAGGCAAACTCTTTGAAGGATATCCGTGCCAATCTAGCCACCTTAACTCGCCAGGGAGAAAATTAGGGGCCCGAGAAGCATTTGCATTGTGAAATTTGAGAAATCTTAGCTTGGTCATGTGTGTGAAGGCCTCACTATTAACTTTCACATCTGTTGCAACCTGCAAGTTGAGTGCTATACCTTGGATGTTTTCTGTACCCTGACAATATAATATTTCATAATAAAACAATTAAATTCCTACAAATGAATTGTATAAATTAATTAAATTAAGGGATTCGATTGATGCATATCTATATGATATGTTGTTTACATATACTATACTAACGTACCTCACTTCCTGTAAGTAGTTGAGAAATATCATGAGGTAGCCACAACCTTCTATATCTTTTTGGATCATCTGAAGCTTCTTGGCGAACAATTGACCACCCCATTTCTTGTATTAATTGATGCATCAAAACAAGACCTTCTGAAATAGTTATTAGAGATTTCTCTCTGAGAACCTTTATGCCAATGTCAGAGTGAAAGTCGAAACTATTAAGTATTCTTGTTATGGATGTTTTCTTCTTCCCATTAAAGAAGCATGCAATGTCTAAGAAAACCCTTTGTGTATTTTTGTTGAGACTAATGAAACTTAATTTAAGTTTCTCTAAAATCTCATCTTCTGGTATTTCTTTAAGTCGGGCAATTTCACTTCTCCATTCATTAATATCTCTGCCATATAGGAGGGAGCCAAAAACTTCAAGAGCCAAAGGAAGGCCTCCAGCATAGTGTACCACTTGAACTTCGAGCACCTGAAATTCCTTTGTAGACAGCAACGACAACTGCTTATTAAATGCATATTGCCTAAAGAGTTGAAAGCTTTCAGCTTCATCTAGCACACTCATTTTGTAGTATTTCATAATCTTCACTTTATGGCTAATAAGCAAGTGCTTATCCTTGGTTGTTATGATGATTCTACTTCCAGCACCGAACCAATCACTGTTTCCAGCCAATGATTCCAATTGATCCCTGTGATCCACATCATCAAGAACAATAAGCACTCTTTTGCACTGAAGCCTTTGCCGTATCATCATTTTTCCTTCAAAAACATTGTCTATTTCCAAATCTTTTACTGAAAGAATCTTAGATACAAGTTTTTGTTGCAAGTGCACCACACCATGTTTGCCTGACTCGCTTCTAACTTTATGAATAAAACTACAACCATCGAATTCTTTTGAGATCTTGTCATACACAACTCTTGCAATAGTTGTCTTTCCAATCCCGCTCATCCCATGTATTCCAACAAAGTGAACCTCATTAGACTCCAGACCTATCAATCGATACAGTTTGTGCATACGAGCCTCTATCCCAACCAGTTTTGGATCATCAATTGACGTTGTTGAACCCAATTTAGTAATGATATTTTCTACAATTTTCAGGATGAACTTTGCTTCATGCCTATATATATCACAATAATTAAAACTTAGCAAGTACAAGTGATAAATTAAAGACACAAATTAATGCACGCTTTTCAGTTAGATGGCTTCACCTCTAAACATAAGTTAACTAGCTAAGCATGAAACTTCATGTGGGTAAAGTTCAAAAATATTTATCCACAGTAATATCATATGGAAAAAGTCATTGTCTACACACTACTTGAAATATGCCAATTTCCGACCACCTGAAGGTAGTCGGAAATGGCCTTAATTCGGTCGAAAACACCAGTTCTGACCACTTTTCCGACCAAATTGGGTATCCGGAAAAACCCTTATCGCTATTTCTGACAAATGAATAAGTGGTCGGAAATTGCGACTACTTTTCTAAGGCTTTCAGAAAAAATAGCCAGTAGAATAGTTGAGCAAGTCTGGATTTTCCAACCACCTCGGTGGTCGAAAAACTTGATGTAGTCAATAAAAAAAATCATTTCACTATAAAGAGGAACTCCACTGTAGTGAAATGAATATATATATATATATATATATATATATATATATATATATATATATATATATATATATATATAGTTGCAAGTCGGTAAGATATTTGCTGAAAAAAATATAAACATTTCATTCGCTCGAAGAGAATTCATTCACGAATATACAATTACCGATCACTTCGTAAATGTGGTCGGAAATTCCGACCAATTTCCGACTACGCTAACACGCGGACGGTAAAATGAAAAAAAAAAATCAATTTTTGCGATCAAATTTTAGTTGGTCGGAAAAGAGGTCAGAAAAATGATAATTTCCTGCCGTGACACTACTACATAAATATCATATAACGTTGGTTATTTATAAATAACCAACGTTGTATGTCAGTTTTAATAATAATAAAAAAAATAATTTACGACGTCGATTTTTATTTAACCGACGTCGTATGCAATGTTTACTTTACAACATCTCTTTGATTAACGTATTTTTTTAACAAACGTTAAAATTGTTTTTTGTACTAGTGCTAACTTGTCTTCTTAGTTAAGTTTGCATATTGAAAACATGACTTGATAAGATCCAACTCGAATTGAATTTTTATTTAGGCTCAGTTTGAAAATTACCTAGAAAATATTTTTCAACAAATAATTTTTAGAAAATGACTCATTTGTTGTATTTTTTTTATTTTTTATTTTTTTGTGTTTGGCTAAAGGTTAGAAAATTATCTTTTTCTATTTGATTGAAAGTTAAGAAATTTCATTTTTTGTTTGATTCATTTTTCAAAAAATAAACATTTTATTTGTAATAATAATAATAAAAATAATAAGTTGCGGTGGTACTGTAGAGGTGTAAATGAGCCGAGTGATCGACTCGCGAGCCGCTCGGTTAAAGCTGGGTTTTAATATACTTTCTCAACCTATTGAAACACAAAGAGTCAACAACGCCTCCACTGGGGTTCGATCTCATGATCTCCCATATGGGAGAGGTCACTACATGCCATCTGAGAACAAGGTGCTTGGTTCTTATTTTATAAATAATCAAGCTGAGCTCAAACTCAAATATTTTAGGCTCGTGGCTCGTCGAGCCGCTCTCGAGCCACCCACACACACACACACACACACACACACACATATGTATGTATGTATGTATGTATGTATACATACATACATACATACATACATACATACATACATACATACATACATACATACATACATACATATATATATATATATATATATATATATATATATATATATATATATATATATAGTCGCGATTTAGTGCGAACCGCCGCCAGGAACGTAATGCGAACCAACCAGCGCGCCATGTGTCCTTTGGGGCATGTAAATGTGTTATATGTGCATGTAGTTGGTGCATCTTTGCAAGTAAAAAGTGTAGGTAAAATCACTTACAAGTGCACCTACTTTCACCTACAAGTGCATGTAATTTTCCCCTTTTAACATAGTAACCTTCAAAGGTTTTTCCATACTTTCCTTTCTGTTTCCTAACCGTCGATGGATCCACGCCATAGAAAATGGGAACAACCATCTGACCTTTCATCTCCATACACTCCATGATTTTCACCAGTTCCTCCAAACACCATGTGGAATCAGCATAGTGCTCGGAGAAGACGACCACCGCCATGGACGATTCATCGATTGCCTTCTCAAGTGCAGGCGAGATGGACTTTCCCCTTTCCAGCTTCTCGTCGTCTTTGAAAGTGTAAATCCCTTTTTGCTGCATAGCACTATAGAGATGATCAACGAAATTCTTGCGAACGTCTTCTCCTCTGAAACTCAAGAAAACATCATAGGAAGAACCACATGAAGACGACACAAAAGAAGGTTGTTCCATTTCAATGAAGAAATGCAAATCTGCTGTATGCAGTTACATACACTATGCACATACAAGAAATGAAGTTCTTAATAATGTAACTACTGTACAAGAAAGGAGACAATTTTCCTGATTATTTTGCAGTATGATTGGAGTGTGTATGACTATGGTATAGTGGTTACATCAAGAACAATTAAACAAAGACTACTGCGCCAAAGTTGATAATATAAAATAATCCAAGCTACATATATATGTTTTGTAAAGGAAAATGCATGGTTTCGTTTTCATGCATATATATATAGCAGGCCTGCCGATATAGCGGGCAAGGTTTGCCGATCGAGAACATTATTATATACACGCACAGAGCTGAGACAAACATAAATAGACAAGCTACGCTTGATGTGTTCCAATCCTGTAAGACTTCAAAATTGAACTCTGATCTAAACTAAAGCTTGTAGTGTCCTCAATTCTTACCGTCCCAATAACTCAATTGCTTCATAATTGAACTTTGTACCAAAGGTACGGTTTCATATGTTTGGTCGGGAGGAAGGAATTAGGAAGGAAAGGAATTGCAATTCACTGGAAAAAGAATAATGTAGGAATTCAAATTACATTGTTTGGTAGGGAGGAATAAAATTATTGGGGGTGTGAAGGAAAAAGTGGTATAAAGACTAAAATATCCTTATGTAGTAATAATAATAATAACAATCAACAAGGGTATTTTTGTCATTTCCTCCCTTTCTCGCTTTTACCCCGCATTGAATTGCAATTCATGGGGTACCCCATGAATTGCAATTCAACAAAAAGAGGGAATTGCAATTCCCTCCATTGAATTGATGCCTTCATTGAATTACAATTCAATTCTAACTAAA